GTTTGACATAACACCATCATCTGGGATTATTGCTCCTCAAGGAACTATGGACATCAAGGTATCCCTATAAGATATTATATTATTGATGCTTAACATTATGTTGCTGTTTGATTACACAGTTTTCAATGTGAAGTAATCTCACTGAGTAAAACCTCCATGCTATACACTAATAATTTTGTTGTAACATCCATTTGTAACAATTTGTTGGAAAATAATAAGCAACATGGTGGTGATAAATGTGCACTTAGACTAGACTACTTTAAGTGTGCCTTTCAGTTTGCTAAAATTTCTTTAACTATGATTGTTTACAATCCTCATTTTTTGCATTTCAGGTGGACTTTGTGTCAACCACTGTCAAGAAATACGAAATTGCTTTGGTGGTTGATGTAGATGGAGTTGGAGAAGAGATTCTTTCACTACCAATAATAGCCAAGTTAGTCCATTTGACACATTACAATCCTTGAAGTTTAGCTCAGTCCAATGGTCAAGGCCCTTTTACAGACTGTCAGATTACTGTGAAACATGTCAACATATGATATGACTTGTGTCTGTCTTTTCCAGATGTGTTGTTCCACCAATTACTGTATCCACACCCATTCTGGATTATGGTCGTTGCTTTCTCCATCACCCTTATGAACTACCTGTCCATCTGCTCAATGATTCAGATCTGCCAGCCAAATATGAGCTGCTTTCACAGGTATTGCATGTATAGAAATAATTTTATTCATTGATGACTTACAATGATATTTTTGCCACCTTTTTCTATTCATTTGATCGAAATTACTTTCCCTTCACAGGTTGTTGAAGATGTTACTCCGATCTTGTACACAAGTCCTGAACCAAAGGTGGGGTTAACAAAGTATCTGAAGGACTCAAGCTCGAAGTGACCCTTTACAAGTTTATTTCTGTTTCTTGGTTATTAAGTACTCATCTATATCAACCCGCACTCACAGTTATTTAGATCTGCAACTGGCCAAAGAATGTTTTATTATAGAATAGTATCTCTCTGGAGCACTTTGCTGCAAAATATCAAGTTGAGTCAATCATTAGCGCAATTTCAGACTATGATGAGAAAAAGACTTCTAGTGACTGTAACTGAATTGATAAGATCACAGGACACAGCTAGCATAAGAACCCAGTAATAAATAGTTTAATCATTAGGTACGTAATTGATCTAACTTCCTGTATTTTAATTTTTGCTGTAGACCATTTTTTGGTTTTGTTATATTTCATGTCAAATGTTCTATTCACTGAAAAGCCCTGTGGGGATGTGAGATAAATGTCTGTATGTATGAACAGAAATGACATTAAGTTACTAGGGAAAACCAAGCCCTGAAAGTGTCTGCCTTATTTTTTACCCCCACCTATTGCAAAGTCTGGATGCAGAGTGCCCTCCACCTTTTCGTTAAGATCTCTATCCGCCATTGATTAATATGTGTGAATGTTTGATTTTTAAACAGGGAATTATCCAACCTCATTCTGAGAAGGAGATTCCCCTGCACATAACAGCAGAGTGCCTGGAAGAGGTCTCCACTATGGCCTATTTCATGATATTTGGAAGCAGTGATGCTCCTTTGGTTAGTCTAATGAATTTAAGTTAACATTTCCAAATATTAGGCCTAGAAATGTTTTTTCTTTTCAAAAAGGAGGTCTATCTGAACCTGAAACTGTTTAGTTAGACAAACCAGAAATGTTGTCAGATATACAAATGTACATTACCGGTATGTCGAGTTTTAGTTTCTTTATTATGCAAACTGTCAGCTACAGATTGATAGCTACTTTCTTTAGTGTTTCTTCTGCGTGGTCATCTTGTCCAACTGCAGCAGGTTTTGTCAGACATCATCTGATGACCAAGTTTTATTTGCAAACAGTTATACAAACAGTCAGCATATGATTTAATACCCTTTCTTTAAATTTTCTACGAACTGCTTTGATTTGTAGATCAATTTAATTTGTACTTTTCCAGCTTAGCCTGTATAGCCGGCTGGATCTTTATCAGAGCAAAGTTTTGGTGGAGGAGATATGAAGCTGTGTGGAAAATTGAAGTCCTCCAAAACTCTCACACATGCAAAAACAATTCAGCCAGCTACATTTACGCATGCAGGCTACTTCCAGCTTGGCCTCTAAACTCAGTTACCATTATTTTGTGTGTCATTTGCATTTAAAGTAACCTAAATGTCACAGTTTGCAAGCTGGTTTCGAAAATATTGAACATGTTTTGAGTTCAGGTTGCCACCTTTAAGTCCATTTTGAAATGTGATTTTTCCCCTTTCTTTGTTAACAGGGAGTTCAGATCAATTGTGTTGGTGAGGGACCAGTGATTCATGTCATGCCAAACCTTGTTGATTATAGCACCATCCCTGTCCTAACAGATGTCTCTAAGGTTGTTAAGCTCTCCAATGAGTCTCTGATTCCTGCTCAGTTTTCTTGTACTATGGTAAGTCATGTGTTTATAAGGTTTACTTTAACAAATGCATTAAGTTTCCCTTTAGGGTTGGATAAGAATTTTAAGTGAAGAATATACACAAAAGACTGATCTTATTTTTGTGACTTTGTTCTTGTCAGTGCTGCTCTTCCGTTTGTTGGTTTGGTAGACTTACGTCCTTACTAAAGATTCTTTTTGTGTTGGGCAGTCAGTTTTAACCTTTTGTCAAGGCAAACATTGTGATTTCAAGGTGCTGGAGCCTTGAGAGCCCTTCAATAAAATATTAAGGGCTCATGGTTGCATTAATGAATTGGCAGCCATTGGAGCAGACCCTGTTTAGGGCCTAGCTTCCAAAAGTGTAAGCTACTGTAGATAATAGAGCGGCTGAGCATCAAGCACTCTTTACAGGCAAAGACGCTAGGGATGGATTTAATAATAATTTGATCATATTTGTGTAAAACATTTTGTGCAAATGTTCATTATTTGTAGACAATGGAATTCTTGAACAAACTGCAACCTTTTGTTACCTCAAAGTCAGTCACAGTTTGAATATATTAAGAAAAGAAACTGAAAGTTGTTAAATGCTGCTTGATTTGCAGGTTCGACCAAATTCCTTATTTTCTGTTGAGCCAAACCAGGGTGTTATTCCTCCTGAAGATGCATTACAGCTAAAGGTTACTGCTAATGTGGATGATACAGTCAAGTAAGAAAAATGTATTTCCCTATTTTACAAATAAAATTAATTTACTACAGTAAGGAAATTTTAGGAACCCTTTCCGTGTAGTTTAACTGGAATCTTCAGGTAAGACAAACGGCCTGTATACTGAACAGGGAAAGATGAAAATCATAATAATTATCAATTATTGTGAGAAAGGGAGGAAAAATTCTTTTTGATTAGATAGCATTTTCAACCACTGATTTCCCTAGAGACATTTGGGGCAGTGTGGCACTATAGCAACTGGGCTATGGATGGACTCTTGGTGATCTAGGCTTCACTGTACGTACACATAAGCTACTTATCTGTATCTACAAAGGTGTTCTGATCTATCAGTTACCTTAAGAGTTACAGTATCTACATGTAGTGGTTTTCCTGCAACAAGCCTTATCATTTTGTCCCTTAGTGGGGAAATTAGTCAGGTGTGGGTCATCATCAACGTTATTTATACACGGAATCTTATCACAATAAAAGTGGTCTTCCTAGGAATCGTGTCTAACTATCTACAGTCCATGACATATAATATTCTACAATAACAAAAATAAAAGACACTTATATTGTATTACTTATAAAGCTAGACTTAACGTAGATATAGAAATTAGAAGAATGTACTTATATACATATGATAAAAGTACGGATTTTATCATATTCAAATCTGAAAAAAAAAAATCTTTTCTTTGTACGTACTTCCTGCATGTGCCACTCCTTACCCCAAGTAACCTTCTTTACCTCAGATACAAAGTTCCACCCACCCCGCTGACCAAAATCCTAGATTTGCCCCTTAAAACTGTCGTAATAGTTGTTTCACTCATTTTATGCTCATCTTTTCGTAGGTTTCAAGATAAGTTATCTATTAACATCACAGACAGTCAGATCCAGACAGTGAGCCTTATGGCTTATGGCTCTGGCACCACAATAGTGAGTGATCCCCCCTTAGCACCAGCTGTGAAACTTGGTCCCCAGTTCAGCTGTCAGCCAGTCAGGAGGTCCTTCTGCCTTACCAATAGTGGGAGGAGACCTCAGCAGATCTATTGGACCACTGAAGGTTTTGCTTCTCACAGAACCAAAAAGAAACCCGAGTATAATCCAGATGATATGAGATTCCAGGTAACAGAGCAATAAGTACAGTGTTTTCGTCAGAACTGACAGGCGAATATGCATGGACTTTCCTGTGCATACACCTGAATTGAATGTCTCAAAAAAGTCAATTTTACGTTGAACTTTTCAACCGAGGACACTAAGATAAAAGATGTGGATAGAACTGTAAATTAACTTTTGGTATTTGTAGTTAACCTGCGCTGACAGCCCAATTTAAGAATTAAATAAACCGCGTCTCGCTAGGCTTTTAAGAAACACTTCTTTTCTATTCGTACTGTTTATTGATATGTCTGTTTTGCAAAATATTTGATGACAAAATCTTCATGTTTTGCTTTGTTGGGCATTAATTTACTCCAAATGTAGCCGGCCTCACAATATACCCTGAATGTGGTTGTCTTTCCTTTTCCTCCAAGGAAAAACAAATTCCATTTTTTGGTGAAAACCGAATTAACCTTAAAAACTCTTCAGCGTTAGTTTGAGGAAAGATTTCTAAAGGATATGGGCTTCATTTTTTCAAATATTTTGAGACAAGCCCTTTCGGGAGGGAAAAGCAAGAAGGAAGAAATCTCATACCGACTTTTAAATCCTGGAGTGAAACCCAAGAGCCTTCACTCTGTCAGTGAAACCCACTTTTTTCCACCTCTCTTACCTTTAAGCGAATTGTGCTGATATAGCTTGAAGTTTATTTTTTTGGTATATTTTTCATACAGGGCATCCCCCCACCAGCTGATCCGCCCAAACCAATCTTCCAGCTTATACCTGATAGAATGGTGTTACATCCTGGTGAGAGCCAGAACGTACAACTGGAAGGCTACTCTGAAACGTAAGCAACTCAGCTTGACTCTGTGTGCTAGTGTTCATAATGTATTTATAGTCACGGGCATTGGTCATATTCTTTATCAGTGATTAATCTGTCCAGTAATCAGTGATTAACCTATAATGCTCTTCATCACTTAGTACCTCTTTTTATACAGGGCCTACTAACAATGTACTCTCCAACACGCAACCTTAGATCGTCCGAGATCGTCCTTGTCAAATCTACTTGTTACTCCCTCCCTTCTCCAATTTGAAGACATATTGAGACCGTGCGTTTTCGGTCTGTGCTTCCAGACTTTGTCCGTTGAAATAGAAAACTCTACGTCGGTCGACATTTTAAAATATATTTTAAAAACGTTTCTTTTTAGTATGTTCTATTAAAGCGTCTGTTTTCTTTCGACCAGGCCACAGAAAGTGAAAGAGCGGATGTTTTGTCATGCTATTATTGGCACCAGCACTGGTAAGGAGCGAATCATGAAGGTGGACATTAGCGCAGAGTTCATCAGTCCGCTTCTCTCGTTCTCCCAAAGAGAGATCAACTTCTGTGTCATGAAGGTGAGTGTGGTTAAATCTTGAAAATATGCAAGTACGGGCTTCCTAGCAAAAAAAGAACTGTCGCTCAATACAGACATACGCCCCTGATGGTAGCTTTTACGCAGGCGCTTTTAGGGGAGTCGTATTTCCAACCTACCGTACACACAAACGACTGGAAAATTTCACGACTTTTATTTTGTCTTTGAGTGCTAACATTTATGCATCGCTAGGACTCTGTTGTTACAATAATGGCGTAATACAAAGACGCAGTCAATATGGAACTTGTTACGGTCATTTCAGTGGCACACATCCACTACAAATTATATGCGAAAGTCTATAGTGATAAGATAGGCTATATTGTTACTAGTAATGTTAGTTAAGCTTGTAATTATTTGACTTGGTATTGTTTTCGGGTCCATTATCGCCGGAACCTTTAAGGAGTGGTAGCAATAGAGATCTTTAGATTCTAAGACGAGAACGATTACCAGAACGATATTTTCTTAATACTAAGTGGTGCGAGCGCGTGACTCAGATTCATTTTGGCGGGAAAACGTGAAAGCCGTCTTCATTTTTCTACCAATGTCGTAGTGGTGGTAACAATTCGTCAAATGTCGGGAGAGGGCTTAACCTCCTTCAATAAAAATAACCGTGCTAGCTTTTCTGGTTAAAAATAAAAATTAAAAAAAAAAAAAAAACAATAATAAAAAACTGGTACATTGAAGTTTTGCGTAACGTATATTTTTCGAGGATACGCGAAATTTAAATCTTGTGCTTGTAGCCTTCCTTGCCCTCTAGTCTCAAGTATAACAGCTAAAACTCACAGAAAACTGTTCTAAGTCACCCTGTCTGGGCAGACACAAACTTGTTAATCGACATTTCGTGGGATAGCTTTTTGTCTGCTAACCTATTCCTGTATTCATTGCAGTACCCCGAGAGCACTTTGGAAATGGAAACCAAGCAAGTGATGATGCACAATGTGTCCTCCCTCCCCCTGTCAGTCATGTTGAAGGCCACATATCCTTTTCAGTTGTTGGTAGAGGATCCTCGATGGGCTCCTGTCAATGTCAAGTCTTCCCAATCGGTAAAAGCTTTGAATCCTTCATTCAATATTGATAAGCTATATCATAGGAACTAGTGTCACAAAATAGAGGACAGTTGTGATAGCTATGGTATGAGTCAAACATATAGGGAAGTCCTATCTGAATCTTCCTTTTCAAGTTGTACCCCACGTATGCATCAACACAGCCCCTGTCGGGCCTGATATGTACTTGTTTTCCCTTACGTAGAAACGGCTAAATACTCACGCTTCAAGCTCTAATTAATTGATGTTGAGAGGATTGAATTACCAAAACCAGACGTAAGAGTCATGTGTTTTCCCGCGCTTCCGCGCTAGGCATCGGCTAATTGTATAAGCTTCACGCTCTGATTGGTTTATGATCGTTCACGTCTTTTGTGATTGGCCAGAGTGACCAAAACCAATCCTGCCATGCATGCGTTTTCCCGCGTTAGGTGCCGGCTGGTTATATGCTTCACGCTCTGATTGGTTTATTAAATCGTCCGCATGTTTTATGATTGACCAGAGTGACCAAAACTAAAGTCTGCGATACAGGCGTTTTCGCACTAGGCGACCGCTTTAAATTGTATTCTTAAAGCTCGGATAGGGTAAATAGGGCAGATAGATTGTCTGCATCTGCTGTGATTGGTTGGCTTGAACGGTCACTTTTGTTTTTGAGGTTTTCAGTTGTAAATCATTGTTTGTGTGTGAGTTCACTCTAAGTAGCCTCAATTATGTGTTTGCAGGAAGTATACCTTGGTGTTGGTGAAAGTATCCCCGTTTTGATCCAGTTTGACCCTTCCTACAAAGACGACTTTGTAACTAGAACTGCTGAAAGCCAGCTGGAAGTACTATTTAAGGAACATCCCCAGACGGTAAATAACATCCTACCTTTGTGTCTTTTAAACAAATTATGAAATCTTGATGAAAGCTGAAAGAATCGTGTCAAGGAAAATTTGGGCGCAAAAGTTGGAATGAAAGACTAATGAAATGGGATGTAGATGATGTAAACTGAGGAAAGACAAATGTGACTGAAGTTATGACCATCCTAGTGGTAAAAAGTTTCAGGACCGAAGAGCTTCAACTTGAAAAATGGGTTGGAACATATGTTCTAGATCTCCCAAAAATAGTTTTCTCATCTTAACAAAATGTATTCTTAGTATTTGATCTGCCCAAAACGTATTTAAACCTTCTCTGGAAATTTGCCTTGCTCAGATTTTGTGGTTTTGGGATTTAGAAATATGTCGCTTTGCACAAATGTTGACGATGATTTAATACTTCTGCTCTGTATAAAGTAACGAGTACAGTGTAGTTAGTTTGGCCATAAATTTTAGTTGTTGTATTGTTATCAATAACACTCTTTTTGTCCTTTCTAGGATTTTGTCAGTCTCAAGGGTGAAGTGTTTTTCCCTAACCTGACCTTTGAGATGGAAAAGGTAAAATATGCCGATAGTGTTGGGTATTTAATTTTGGTACGGTCAACAACTTTGATCAAATATAATATACGGAAATATAATAAACTGCTGTGTTTGATTACTTATGGATCTCAAGAGTGGGCAATTCCTGCTGATCATTATGTTTTTCTCTGGTACGAAATGAACGACATTGCCCTTGCTGATTCTTTCCTTTTCAAATGCCAAATACCAAATAATTTTGTATGAAAATAACGGTTACAACTTTTATAATGTACTGAGAAAAGGTCTCGTGCAATTGTCAACTCAGTACGAAGCGTGGTATACGAGGAAGTGCTGTCTTTTAATTTATCAAACGCGTTTACCACACTGTGTGGTTGGCATTCGAAACGTTTACCCTGCAGCCATATTACTGTTACACTGTTTGCTGTTGTATTAGACGGCTCTGAGTCTATGATGTTCCCTTCAATTTCAGGTTGACTTCGGTTGCATACTGAATGACACTGAAGTGATGCAAGTTGTCAAGGTTACTAACCACAGTCCAATGGACGTGAAGTATCAGTGGAGCTTTATAGACTCTGCTATTCAGTTTGAAAACAAAGACGAAGATGAAGGTTTGTTTACCTCTATTGGCCGTTTGAGACCTGGGTCCTTGTTGTGTCGAACTGCATTATTTAACTGTTTTGGGGCACTAACTTTGGACCCAGTTTCGTGTTCATCTTTGTGATAGCCAATAGGGAGCCTAAGCGACGACAACGGCGACGGCTACGAAAACGTCACTTAAAATCATAAGAAGCATTATATTAAACGTTACAAACAGCAAAACTGAACAACAACTGTTAGCCTAACAACACGATTGCATCTCATTTTAATCCTCTTCAAGTTTGTCCACCTATACCTCTTTTTGTATTTGCTGTGTTATTTATACCTTATTTTCATGTTTTGGGCAGTTTTTTAATGCTTCACTCAGTTTGGTTTCCACTGTTTGAATTTTGATAAATTTCGTTACACGGCTTCTTTAACTGAGAGCTTTTCTTCGTGCCTGCAGGGATTGGTGTTGAGGTGGATGATGACAGCCAGCCTGAGGAGGATGCCGAGAAACAGGATGAAGCTGACATTATGGTGATCGAGGTGCCTGATCAGGCCCCGCCCGGTTCCCCTTTGCAGGTCGCCAATGCTCCCTCTAGGTCCTCCCAAGGCAGCAGACCCTCTAGTGCTGGCAAGGAGAAGGAAGAAGGAAGGGGTCCCGGAAATCAGTTGATAACACCATGGGGCCAGACTGAGATGCAAGTTAATATTGGAATTGATGAGGTTAGTTTGAAGGGGAATGAAACATAGTCAAGCCTTATGTCAACTTAACTCTCTGACTCTCTTGACTTTGATAGAAGGCAAATTCTTTGCTAGATTGCTTAAATGAACAATTACGCGTTCCAGTGATAGGAAATGGGATGAGTGCTCTCGTCCGTCTTGAGTACCTATATTATTATAGATTTGAGCGTGTCAACCATCTCTAGTTTGTAGCTTGATGGTTTTTGGATTCTTCAATTTTCCTCCTAAACAATTATTTTTTTGTTTAACAACAGGTTTTTGACATCCTTCCGTTGTACAGCACGCTGCATCCACACGAGACACAGAAAATTCAATTTACATTTTATGGGCATGCCAACATTAGTTCCCAGGCTGTCGCACGCTGCTCGGTTTATGGTGGCCCTGACTATGACATTGAGCTGCTTGGTCAGGCCTCTTTGGTGCAGTACTTTTTTGATCGACAGCTTGTAGATTATGGCAAGCAGGTGAGGGCAAAAGCTGCTACTGTTATTGAAAAAGAGTAGGACTTCTTAAAATTGTTACTTTCATCTCGCGGGAAATGTGAGAATTTTTTTTTAATCTTCACCTGTGGATCCTCTATCAGTGACCTGTTTCAATGACTGTTGTTGGCAAATCCGGCAATAGCCTGTTCCAGGCGTTCAGATAGTTGGCAGCGACTCGAAGTTTAGAAAGTGAGAGGACAGAGAGGGGAGACAGGGAAGAGAGGCGTTTTTATTTTTTCGCGCCCCTTTTTACCTCGAGCCGCTCCTGACTATCTGAACGCCTTGGACGGGAGGTAAATATTGAGCAATCACTGACAGCGCTACCACGTTGCTATCAAAACCCTCCACTGAGAGCTTAGACAATCTCTTATGTGGTTAAGCAGTGAACGGTAGAAAAATTGATATCCAAGTGAAATCAATTGAATGTCGCCGCGTTAACGATATAGTAAGCTATCATAATCTAAACACGATGAGTAATGTCTTTTATTTTATGGTCATCATGTTTTATGCGTTTTTTCTAAATATATGTATTCTCTATTCAGCTGTTTGATCAAGCAGCAGTCGCGGAGATTGTTCTCCACAACACTGGCAAAGTGGGCCTGAGTTTTGTGGTCCTTAACGTAGACAGTGGAAACAAGCCCCTCCCTGGAGCCCCGAATGTATCTCCTATTCAAGGGTACATCAAGGCTCTTAGTCAACAGACTCTTACTATCAGGTATCTTCCTGGCGTGCCCGAGAAATTCGAGAAGACATTCCAGGTAAGACCTCATCTGACCTTGCCTTGCTTCCATTAGGTCATTATTTTGGCCGTTTTTCATGGTTCAAACAAAAATTAAAGTTTAGTGGTGTCTTCATCTGGAAAAAAAAATTAAACCTGAATCTTAAAAGAGGACTTTGAAATCTACAGGGACACGTTGAAGCATGAAACACGTTATCAAAAAAGTCGCAATTTAAGCAGTGTTCAAGGCCAAGTCCCTTTATTTCAATTAACTCTCTTCAGTTAGCATGTACAGTGTATATAGGGCCTATAATTTGACTTCAGCGGGTGAAGAACAGTGCGATTTCACAGCTGAGAAATTCATAGTTGTCGTATTAAGGATTCGAATATTTTCTATTACAATTGATCTGAAAAGTTCAAGACATCTTTAGTAAACGTTCCGTCGACTCTTATTTGTTGTTTGCTTTTCCTTTGCTAGGTGCGAGTGGCTCATTTTGAACCTGACAAAATAACGGTGACCGGAGAGGGCGTCTTCCCTCGAGTTATTTTTGACCTTCCCGCAGACAAAGAGGACTACCGATATGAAGAGATGGCTAAGCAAGCACACCAGAGCCTGGGCCGAGAAAACTCCAACCTGTCAGATAAGAGTGTTGGCGATGTTCCCTTCAGAGCTCTTGCAGATGTAAGTAGTACACCCCCTCAACAATATCGATCGACACTATCGCCCGATAAAGACCTGCCGTACGCGGTCGAAACGTCACGCTCAATAGCCAGGGGTGCGTTCGATTGGGAAACCTGGAGTTAGATTTTAAAATCTGGATTTCGGGTTTGCAATCGAACGGAAATCCGGAAAAGAATTTCAACGCTGAGATATCTGTTCTTGAATTTCCTTTGTTCTTTTGGGGTATCCGAAAAAGGATTTGAAAGACTGTTCTTTAGAACAGCGGTCTTGCACGTGCACGCATAGTTTGTAAAAAGAAGACCACTGTTCACGAGAATAGTTTTGCAAATCCTTTTTCGGATTTCCCAATCGAACGGTAAAAAGGAAATCCATGAAATCCGGATTTGGATTTCTTAATTGAAATCCACCCTGGCGACAGATTTCTCGGAAGTGAAATCCATTTTCGGAGTTCGTGTTCGATTGCAAAATCCGAAATCCGGATTTCAAAATCTAAATCCGAATTTCCCAATCGAACGCAACCCAAATGACTATCGTGACACAAATGATAAACAAAACCCTTTATACACATACCATGGTGAATAATATCTTACATGACACATAACCCTTGGTTGATAACTGTCTGTTCGATATAGAAGCAGTATCATAAAGGGAAATTAGATGTTTGTCTCAAAAGGCTAAGGGTGTCAAGTACCATGTACTAGTTTTTGTTTTCTTTTTCAGTCTGTTGGTGATCTCGGAGTTCAGATGGAGATGGAAAGACTGTTAGTAAAACAGTTTGCTTTGGAGCAACAGGAGTTATTTAGGACCACATCACTAATCCACACTTCCAGCTCTCACAGAACAGCAGCAAAGAAACAGCGACCAAGGTAAGCTGTGGACTGTGTGCTTCTTGTAGCTTCTTATTTTTCGTGGCACCTTGTTTCTACCGACAGCGCAGCTCTCCTGCTTAACACTGATATGAAGCATAGGAAATGTGCAGGCGTACTCTCGTAAATGTTCGCATGAGTGGACAGAAATTCCAGTCCCACATGTCAGCAATTCTTTTTACCTGGACTGCTGTAAACTGATGTGTGTTTCTTGCGGCTTTTTTTTCTTTCATTTTACCTTGTTTATACCTACAGCGCAGCTCTCCTGCTGAACACTGAATTAAAGCACGCAACCTTTGATTAGTTGTGATGAAGAAAAATTTATCATCAGTTGATGAATGACAAGTGTAGTACCGCGTTCAAGTTATTTTTACTATTTGCAATTTGTACCACTTGTCCAAGCTTTCCCTTTAACTGTCGTTTACTGATCATTATCTTTACAAAAAAAGTAGTAGTCTTATGTCAAATCATCCGCAAAAACTAGTTCGCACAGTTTTAATATTTTCCTTTCCTGTTCTGAGAAATCGTTCACTTGAATTTGACGTTTGCCGTAAACGTGACTGTAAATCTCTCGATTACACTGTAAGTTAAGCATAATCAGAAGCAAATAACCTTGGTTCTGGAATAATTCATGACTCTGTTATTGGTGATAACTTTCCACTGTTTTTCTTCATTAGACCTCAACTAATCAACTACTTGCTGGACTTTGGGTATGTTGTCTATGGCACAGTACGAAGTCATGTGGTCCGGGTGACCAATAACGGACACTTCCCAGCCTCCTTTGCTCCTGAAAAGTCAGTCCTCTGGGGCAGCGGATTTGGAGTAGAACTGGATCGAGTTCGCAATCTCCCGGGCGAGCCAGACAATGAAAGTGTTGAATTCATGGTGACCTTTGACCCACGAGTGGCTGGTCTTCCCATGGGTCCAGTGGATATTCACGTGCCCTTTCACGTGCTTAGTGGTCCTTCGTTTGGGCTAAGGATCAAAGCCGTGGTTACCATGCCGGATATGACGGTGTCTACAGACGCGTTAGACTTTGGTGTGGTGGAGTGTGGAAACAGCATGGTCATGACTATACAACTGCATAATAATCAACAGGTTAGATGTGACTGGTCATCGGAGCCTCCGGAAGAGAAGAAGAAAAAGGTGAATAACTTGTTTTACTCAGTATTTTCGTCCAAAACAAATGGTCGTAAAGTGTACACCTAGAGTTGGTCCCTGCCGTTCTTCAATCATTTTTGTTGAGTCTCTATATGACGGACATCTCCGGGAAACGGACACCAAGTACTGGTCCATACCTTGTCCGTTTTAAAGTGAAGTTGACGGATAGGAGAATAATATACATTGAAAGGAATGCTGTAACAGTTCAGGCTTAAAAAGACTTCGGTCCATTGTTTTTGCAGTGCGAGAACTATGTAACGAATATTAATATAAAAAGATAACAAGATTTTCTTTGATTCTTGTGTTACAATTAAAGACGTTCTATGAAGTGTTGTATCAAGCAATCTATGTTCGTTGTTTTACGTTGTCTGGGTCAAATACAACAATGTCGCATGTAAAGAGACATTCTTTATTATCTGTGTTGAATAGTCTGACAAGATGATTCCCCTTCATCTGCGCAAGAAACTACGCACTGAAAAACCCAAACCAAAGTACTTTGAGGTGATGCCGCCCATTGGTTCCCTGATGCCTGGTCAGCGGATTAATGTTCAAGTCAAGTTCATGCCTACTGAAGAGGTGAGAAATAACAGATTTTCAAATATCTCCAGGTGAAATTTGAATCTGCTAGACAGCTGGGAACTGGTTTTGGTTACCTAATTAACCTCTAGAGATTGGGTAGGGGTACCCCATGAATGTTTCTGTCGGTTGTACTGCGAGACGTTGCAACCCTTGGACTATACCAGACCATGTTCAACCGCAGCTTTGTTACCCTATTTTAAACTAGACACCAAAAAAACCCCACTCTCTCATAAGAATTTCCAATCGCTCACACAGTGATGGGAATCTCCCTTGATGGTTTTGGAAACAAAAATTGCGTAACACATCAGGCAAAGGCCTGCGAAGTGCATAATATGGGTCAATTAAGAATTAGCCTGCGTATCAAGCGTTTCCAATCGAGTTATTACGCGAAAGTTAGAGCCCGTCATTAATTTGTTTTGCTCTTGTCCCAACTTTCTTGACGAACTCGTGGAAACGCTTGCTACGCAGACTAATTAAAAATCTTTGCGTTTTTTGATATTCTGGACCTGTCCTTTTCTTGACAGATCTCTTATAGTCAACGCCTTGTGATACGGATTGCTCAGAGTTCCAGTCGTCACGTGATCAGTGTGAGCGGTCAGGGGAATGAACCCAAGTTAGAGTTCAGCTCAACTTTGATTGAGTTTGGCCCAGTCCTTCCTCATTCATCCGGAGATGAGAAGGAAGTGATTATTAGAAATCCTTCTTCGTTTCCAGTAGAAGTATACTCTCTGGAGTTTGACAAGCAGTATTTAGAAGAGGAAAAGGTATACGGGAGTAGTTACTTCATGCCTGCTTTTCAGTGGGCCATTTCCGAGTTTGCTGTTTGCCATAGAAATGATTCTATCGTTGTCGTTAGTTCAATAACAACACAACAGTTCAATAACCACAAATAATAATAGCATTTATTTATAAGGTGCAAATTCAACTATACAGTTTTCAAATGCGCCTAGAAACTGTATAGTTGAATTTGCGCGGTATAAATAAATGTTATTATTATTTATGGTTATTGAACTGTTGTGTAGTTATTGAACTAATGAAAAAAAAAAAAACAACAAAAAAAAAAAACACACCACACCAGTAGAAAAAGAAACTTGGGGCAACTCGGAAGTGGCCTGCTCTTCTGATAGTTGCATTTTCTTTTGATGGAATTGAAACTTCCCCTTCAGCTCATTTTCTTTATAGTATAAATTATTTATATTATCATTATTTTGATGATTATAATAATTATTTTTTATGCTGCCTGAAGGGCTATGATGAATTCAATAAGTAATTTTGCTCATAAATTGACAGTGAGGAGCTATGATGAATTCAACACTAAATTTGTGCCCAAACATCGGCCAGTAGACAAGCTTCCCCCTTTGTCCTTTAGTTTCTAAATAATTATGCTAATGATCTCAACAAGCACTTTTTATAATCATCTCTAAATTAATAATGAAGGGTTATGACGAATATAACAATATTCCTCTGCTCCCACATCAGCAATAAGACGAGTTTCCTTCTCTGGTACTAATCTCTCTAATTATGTTTATTATCGGAATAATTATGCTAATTTAATGTTAATATTTATGCTATTTATCTCCAGATGCTGCGCACAATGAAGGGCTACGATGAATACAACACTATCCTTCTGCCTCCAAGGAAGCCAGGAGACAAGCTTCCTCAAGAGGTCACCGATGCCTACAATGAACAGCAGAGAAAGAAAGAAGCAGAAGAGAAAGAGAAAGCCGAAGCAGCTGCGGCTGCCCAGGGTGAGAAGGTAGCGGAAGAAGCTGGAGAAGGGGCTGCTCCCCCTGTTATAGCTACGGTACCACCTTCTACTAGAGGGGAAGGAGGCAAGGCTGAAAGTGATGAGGGTGATGGAGTTAAGGACGGTGAGAATAATAGTGAACTTAAGTTAATTATAAATTTTGTAAAAAAAAAAGACTGCATAGTGTCATGGTTGATTTTCTCCTGAATTTTTAAAAAAATCTGTTTACCAAGTCACAAATGCCTTTAGCTGTTTAAATAACTAGGTGATACAGTCCATTGTTGCTGTTTGTTGTTGTAACCGTAGCTTGTAGGTCCACAATCGGTCCACAGTGTGAACTGACCTTCGATGCTTCGGCTAATCACTTTGAAACTCATTGGTCAAGTTCTTGCTCTTTGAAGAGAAGATTTCAAGTTCATGTCCGAGTGAGGAAGATCCTCGTTTTGCTTCTTTCTTTTACTCTAGTATTCATCATAATCAAGAAGGGCCAGGTTGTACCCCTTACGGGACACACTAGTTTAAGAGCAGAGAACAAGTCTTTTAACGTCTCTGTTTCTTAATCAGTCGAGGCCATAATCACTCCCTGGAGTATATATTATTTTTTTAAAGTCAGTGTGCGTAAGTGCAACGAGTATAGAGTTTCATACTACAGGAGAAAACCTGAACAAGGTTTTGTTGCCTTTGCTCGTTGCAGATAGCAGCAGTCTGGGTGTAGGTGAGCTAGAGATCACTCCAGTGTCTGCCGCTATAGCTCGATATCTTGGAATTGACCTGACAGCAGAAGGCAGAGCTGCGCGTAACAGACGCGGTATTGCATTAGTGGTGCATGGTGCACCTCTCTCCGGAAAGACAGCTACTGCTGTGTCACTGGCAAAGATGTATGGAGCAGCGCTACTGACTGTTGATGGAGTGGTTATGGAAGCCATAACAAGTGGAAACACTTCTGCTGGTAAGAATGTGCTCGTAGTAAAAAAAATCAAATTAAAAAATTAAAAAGATCTGGAAAGTCCATTTGCAAAATAATAATCCTGTGACTTTCATTTGATCCCTTGCTTTCTCCCTACGTAAAAAGTAGATACCACGATGTCAAATGACTTTAAATGCTGCTGTATCTTATAAGACTGGTTTGAATGTTATTTTAGCATGGTCTGATCTGCCTAGGCATATGGTTTTGAGCTGGAAATGTGAGACATTTGTTTTCTCTTGGACTGAATCTTTTTAAGTTGTTTTTTTCGACCCTCGATGGAGTGACTGAAACCGATCGGATGTCTCCTTTGCGAAGCAGCCTGTCACAGGTTAAGAGTGTTTGTCATTACCTAATCAGTTAATGTTCCTTCTTTGTCTCAAAAGCTCAACGAGCCAAGGAGCTGTGTGCAGCAGCCGCCCGAGCAGCCAAAGAAGCCGAGCAAACAGCAGAAATCCAAATCACCCAGCCCACAGGAGGACTGAGTGTAGAGGCGGTCACTGCTCTGGGTGCCGCTAGCGGTCCGTCAGCTTCCACTGCCGGGTCGGTTACTGGGGCACAATCCTTTCTTGGTAAAGACCGCAAGACATCTACCATAGCCGGCGGACCCCGTGGGGGAGGTGGTGGTAAGAATATCCCTCAACTACAACAGTCACCTCCTGGGACCCCTCCCCAGGCTGCTCCCTTGGGGAGGAAGTTGAGTGTGAGTGCAAGTGTGGCTGGTGAAGATGGATTGTACAGCTGTGTTTTGCCAGAGGATCTCCTTGTTGAACTGCTCGCTGAGAGACTGCAGGTTAGTCTGAGATCTTGGGCGTAGTGCATATAATGGATCTTATTTAGAAATTAGACATTTGGATAAATTTTAGTGCGAAATGTGAATCGCCAAGGTTAGAAATTAAGTCAGTGCCTGGTTAATCAGGTTTGAGTTTGGAGTGTCTTCCCCCCCTCCCGCCGGAGTGCCTGCAAGTCGTTGGTACTTTTGACACAGAAGTTTTATCGTCTCACGTAAGTAACAGTTCAAAAAATGGCTACACGCTTTACAATTACACCATGTTCCATACGTTTTCTCCCTTAAATCCATTTTCTCCATTAAAAGACAATGAGGTCTTATTGTACTCACTTTATAGTGCTTTACTTGTCACGTCGTATAAATTAACGGATGACGATGGGGAGACAAGACAAGACAGCTGCGCTTTTTTTCCATTCCTAGGGAGTTTATGGTTGTGGGCGTGTGTAAGGTGCTTATCAGATGGATACTTAAGAGAGAGGGATCCTTGTCCTGTTATAATCATAATGATGCACTAATCTGTTTTTTAGTTGAGTGACTGTCAGAAGGGAATTGTTTTGGACGGTCTGGAGTCGCTGTTCAGTCCTAACATGATGGCCACAGCCAATGCTATTCTGAGAGCCTTCAACAATCGCAAGTACATCTTCTTTGTGACCCTGATGCTGGATCAGGCCAAGCTAAAGGCTGTAGAGGAAAAGAAAAAAGAAGAGCAAGGTGGGTGGTACTGATAACGGTCAAACCAAAAACGTCTGCCATGTCTGACGTATAGCCAGAGTTAAACACACTTGTAATGCCACAGGAGAGATGAATTTACTGTTTTGTGTTACTGTGATAAAGCAAAAGTTACTGAAAGACGCTAAGACGTGGATATATTTTAACTTTCCTGTTTTAACATGGGTTTCTTCTTTTTTTCTGTGTGTGATACTGCTTAACATGTTTTGTAGTTCTTAGTCCGGTCAAATAAATGTTGCAAAAGCGTTGTTATTGGGTTATCCAGCGCTGTATTTACATTGGAAATGGAGATGTCTGATGACGTGTCAATGGAAAGGCCCAGGAGAAACAGAAAACAAAAAAGCAAAAGCTGTCACGGTTTTGTTTTATGAGTCAAGCTTGCTTCATGCAAAAATTTTGTATGTGAAGGGCGCTGGCGTTGATGCTGTCCAATCAATTTTTATTTCAGCCAAGCTTGAGAAACAAAAGGAAGAAGAAGAAAAACGTCGTCTGGAGGAGATGTCTGAGGATGAATATGATGCTCTGACAGAGGAGGAGAAGGCTGAAGTGGACAAGAAACATTTGGAACAGAAGAAGGAGAGACGCAAGCGAGAACTAGAAAGACAGGAGAGAGAGAAGAAGGAGAAGGAACTCCAGGCTCTTATGGAGGAGAAGAGACTTGAGGAAGAACGGTAAGAAATTAAAGTGTGACAAACATTTCGCAAACCTCGTGGTTTTGCGTCTGAATTCACAAGCTGTGTTAAGTCAGTTACAAAGAAAGCTTAAAAAACTCAGCCGACCATAACCTTGGTTTTCCTAGACCATTGACACCGGTGAAGGTTTTCCCGCCATTGCGGACATCGATGAAGGTTTTCCCGCCATTAACGCCGGCATAGGTTTTCCCGCCATTGACACTGTTGCAGGTTTTCTCGCCATTAGCACTGGGCGAACAATTTCGCGCCATTGGCACCACATGCTTATTTTACATGACTCGCGCGTGACACCCTTTCAATTGTTTCTCTTTTTGTCAGAAACAAAAAATGTTGATGTCCTTGGTGACTAGCATTTGTCACATTGTTTTTATAGCGGTAATCAAAAAGGGAAACGTCGCGGACCTCAGCAACCTGGAGGGCCTGGTTCCAAGAAAGGTCACGATCCGAAAGAGAAGAAGCCAGAGAAGAGCTCTGATAAACTGACTCCAAGCCGCACAACAGGCCTGGCCTCACAGGCGCAGCCCTTCGATCCACGAACGGGCGCCCCCTCTGTGATCTCCGAACGTTCCGACAGCAGCGATGTTACCGACGAGAAGAAACGATCAAGCATGGCCAAAGTGCAGAAGCATCGTCACTCTTCAGCCATAATGCACCCGCCATTGTTGATTTCTCAAGTGGAGGAGTCTAAACCGCCCACGGAGGAAGAGGAGAGAGAAAAAGAACTCTCGAAAAAGTAAGAATAGGCAGATAAAATGGCGTCATCTACACTCTCCTTTCCGTTCCATTATTATCAAGTGGTGATATTGTTGTATGTTTTTCTAGCGATATTTCTGATGTTTGACTTTTGCTAGAAAATTAAGGGTAAGCCTGCGTCGAGGACAAGGATAGCAGGGGCTGATTGCCCCTGTGACTACAAGTTGTTGAAGTAGTATGAAATCTAGTGCTGTCAGACTAAATTGCTGTTGATAACATGTGTTCTGCTTAGGTGTAAATTAGTTATCTCGATGTTCTTCTTCCTTGGGTTGTGCAATCGAAATTTGGGACTTTTCCGAACATTTTCGCGTAACCTATCAATACCGTGCATATTATTCAGGAATATACTGATCGGTTGGGTAGTCCTGATTAATAGTGTTATTCTATTTACGGTTAGACTGGCCTGACCAGCCAGTTGAAAAAAAAAAAGTGAGTGCCCTAAGTTAAATTTCTCGTATTGTCAGGTTTACTACGTTTGAGACCAGCCTCCGTGATATCGACAACTTGTTGCAAAACTGGGACCGCACAACTGGAACCGTAGCACGTGCGGATACCCCGAAGTCTGAAAACTTTGATGACACTATTCCAGTTCCTGGTTCAACGAGACGAGCTCGAGAGAAAAAGGACAAAGAGAAGGAACTAAGAGAAAGGGAGAAAGAGAGAGAGAAGGAGAAAGCCAAGGAGGTAGGTGATATGTTCGTTTTAGTAAATGAAATTTTAAGAACCTCTTACGTAAAGATAAGGGAGGCCTATCAGTAATGAGGGTGTGGTCTTGACTTAATTGATACCGTTCTAAACGGAAAAAGGTTTAGCGATTTTAATGCAGCATATAAAGAAATTGACAGTGAATGATTTTGTCGTTTTTCCTTCTTTCTTCTTTTCGTTACCCGCTTTCGTTATTTCTTCACGCACAGCCCTAAGCAATACCTCCCTGGGTATTGTCCCATCTCTAACACCCCCAGTGATAAGAAAATCTACAATTTGCACACCTAACCAAGAAAATGAGACTTCTGTCCCTTTTATGATATTCTCCAAGACACTTAATAATACGATTGTAAAAACAGGCTATTGACACGCCGACATTGAAATTTCAAGACACATCTAGCTAGGCATTTTTCAATTTTACTGAGGCCTCTTCTTTTCCTTGGTGGAGACACGGGTCCTTTCAGTTTGTGTGTACCCCCAAAGTGTTTGCAATAAATGTAACATGTGCATTTTCCTTCGAGTATCTCCGCATGTTTTAAGTGGGTGTTCCCCCTCTCCCCCCCCCACCCACCTCTTCCGCGTGCTAATGTCACGGTCGTGAAAAGGACTGTCGTCGATGACTGTCAAATAATCGTATGGGTAAAAGTTGTTTTACCGACAAGGATTGCCATTTGAGTCCTCAGTACCAGTAGCTCTCTTTTTAAAACGTTCTGGTATTCAATTTAGCTTGAAAAGAATTTACCCTAAAACTATTTTTTTCGAATTTTGAGACATCGCATTATGCCTTCAGATCTCCGATTCTCCAATGTCAGCGGTCAGCGGAGAGCATGATGAGGATGAAGACGGCAGTAAAAAGGACGGAGTGGGAGTACCTCAACTCATCGTCGACACAGTAAACCCATCAGAGTCACAGGCCGAGCAGACTCTGGCAAAGGGAATTCTACCGACTGTGGAGGAGGTTTTAGATGGTCTTGGTTTAGGTCCCAATGGTCCTCCTATTCCGCCTCCAGCAACCTTTGCTGTAGTGCCATATCCTGTCCGGAGACGCCCCCCTCTAGGCATAGATCCTCCGTCTCATTATGTGTTTGTAGCGTCCGGCCCGGATGATCGCAATGCTCCACAAGAAGACAAGACTAAAGAGGCTGAAGCAGAGGTGGAAAAGACCCCCGAGAAACCACCGGTTGGTACAAAATACAAGGCGCCTTAGTTTCTTTCATCCTTTACCCTCTAACATCATTGCGTATATTCTCCAAATCGTCGCACTCTGTTCTCTGTTTTTGTTATTATCCCACTGATTTGAGAATAATTTTATAAACTCCAGGGGTTTTGTTAGTGACCATTTCATTTGTTTTTTATGATTCTTGATTAAGCGACAATGTTTGAAATAAATTAGATGCAAGTTTTCAGAGTTACACTTCGTTATAAACTTAACACTAAACATCTTCTCCCCTTAGCACTAAGTCTCTCTTTCATTACAACCTATCATTTTATACAGCATCACCACTGAGGAGAATGTTCAGAGGGTGTTCTGATTGCTTCTTTCCTTGTCAAACTTTTCTTTACACAAGATGTAACCATTCGTTTTCATCTTAGGAACACGGTCGTAAAGGCCGTAAGGACAAAGATGACAGAGAGGGAGGTACAAAGTCAAGGAAGGAAAGAGGCAGCTCCGCTAGGAGAGGGAAAGCAGCTCATGGTGCCCCGTCCCCTCCCCCCAGCATTACTCCCGCAGAGGAGGACAAGAGGTTAGTTCAGCGGCTAAGTTTGTAAATTTATAGCATTTAAGACGCCACATTTTGCGGCGTTTTTTGCTTTATTGCGATTACGAAAAGGAAGCAAAGAACCTTGTTGTGGGGTATTTAAATTGCACAGAAATCTAACCAAGTAAACGCACAAGTAGATAGAAAAAAGTTGTGCTATGTTGTGGCGGTGACGGGACGGTGAAGTTTCAACTGATGTTTCTCTCAAACCTCTAACGTTATCGTTTCCCTAACTCTGGCTTTATGTAATGATATTTATTTAAAACAGTTAACCCTCAGTTGTTCGTCTGTCCCGCCTAGATTAGTATTTACTACCTGCGGGTCAGTGTAATTACTTAAGTTAAATTCTTACAATAAAATTTTGTTGTACGAACCGGAACCGCCTTTATAAGAATAGAAACAAAAAACGCCCCATGTAAGGGAATCCAAGACAGTCGTGGATTCTGGATTCCTTATAAGTGGAACTGGGAAATCTTCCAGATTACAATCGTTAGTGGGATTCCGGGTTTCTTGAGCTGTATTCCGGATTCCACAAGCAAAAATTTCACGGATTCCGGAATGCCTTACATTGGGCACCAAAAACGCTTTCTTGATTTCATTATTCTGATATTAATTTTCCTTCCAATGCAGTGATGCTGCTCAAGCGCCCAGTACTCCTCAACTGGTCAATCATCGCTGGGTGATTCCTGCCAATGATTCGGTGACGTTGCGCATCCGTTTCCGGTCTGAGGAGTTGGGCCAGTTTGACCAGACTTTGAACTTTGAAATCATGGGAACGCGCCGGCGCTATCAGCTGTTTTGCCGCGGCGTGTGCTCTTTTCCCACCATAAGCCGTGAGCCACGTGTAGTGTTTCCACATCGCCGAAAGTACCGCAAACCTGAAGAGATTGTGCACAAGAAATACGTGCTGAGTAATGAGACCTTCGAGTTCGGCCCACTGCTTTGTGGTAAGTCCAAACTACTTTGGGCTTCTTTTTGTATTGTTTTTAGAATTCTCATTTGCATTGAACAGGCTGTGTTTAGGCTGTGTTTAGTGTGGGGGTTTCTTTTGAACTGGGATGTCTCGGGGGGGAGGGGCGAACCACATAGTATACGCTATAAAGTTTGTGTGCCACCCCAAAGAGTAGGGTCGAACAGTCGTTTTTACCTGAAAACGGGTGTAGATTTTGTCCATTATAGTCTGAAATCGGGTATGGTTATCAAGAGAGCATACAGTCAACTCTCTCATAACGGACACCAAGAGAAGTTCCCAGCCTTTCTTCTTTCCTTTTAGTTGTCTCTCTATAAGACGGACACGTAGTTCTCTTCCCAAAGGTGTCCGCTTTAGTGGGGTTCGACTGGTAGTTCCCGGCTCAAAGGTGTCCCTTTTAGAGGGAGCAGACTGCATGACATTTTAACATAATATTTTAACAGGAAAGACTCGTGATCGATACAAAGAAGGCAAGTATCCAGAGAACATGGAGAAAATAGTGGTTTGTAACACCTCTCCTCTGGAAGCGGACGTCAGCTTCTGTTTTCAGCAGGATAGTACTGCAGCTACGTTCATCCTTGATCCGCCCAACATGAAGCTTAAACCAGGAGAGAGCCAGGTCGGTTGTCATTCATGATAAAACTAATTTCTACTCTGGTCGTTAAACGTTGCTATGGCGTTTATATTAACCCATTCACTCCTGGGAATTTTGCCAATGAAAGACGCCCTTTGAAGCTAGTCGCTCCAGTTTTATTTGCCCAGTTTTTTTTTTTTTTTTGTGGGGGGCGGCTTAACTAGGCTTCATTACGGTGCAAAAAGTTTTGGGGAAAGCTTTTAGGATCTTAGGATTAAATGGAAGGCAGTGCAGGCGGGTAGTGGAACAAGATTTTCATTGGAATTTTTTGATCAAATTTGCATCGCTTTTCGCGTTTTTCTCCGTTTTCCCTGTCGAAAACGTGCTCATTCTGGCACGGCTTGTATGGTTTTAAAGATCTCTCCTCCTTGTGCAAGTTAGATGACAAATTATGACGTGCAGGTACGGATGGTTCAGGGACGAATCTGTTAATCTGGAATTGTCTTTTCATTTTATAACAGGACCTTACCTTATGGGCATATCCGAAGACCCCTGGATTCTTTGAGGACGCCGTTGTCTGCTGCATACGCGAGAATCCGGAACCTGTGGTGTTTAAAATCTCATGCCATGGTGTTCGGCCTGAACTAGAGTTAGATCGGAAACAGCTTCAGTTTGACAGAGTTTTATTACACAGGTGGGTTGGTTAGTTATTAACGATATTTTATTTGTCAGGTTGCGCCGATTTTAGGCAAGTTCTCCATGTAGACTGTTGGTCTTACTATATTTTTACATGAAGTAAATGGACCTTGGAGTGGGTGCCTCTCTTGAAATTGCTGAACAAAATCATGAAATTTCAATGTTAAGTTCAAACTTTCAGATACTACACCACCTCTTATTATGCAGACAGAAATATGGTCGCTAATGAATGTTGTCGCATAGAGAGCATAACTGTATTCATTGAGCCAGAGTCGAGAAATGTCTTTGAGTGGAGTCTTTGTAGCTAAACTATTCACAATGTCATTACAAATGTTTGCATCGTTCATTTGTAGGAAGGACACAAAGACGATATTCCTGCGTAACAGTACACTGCTTCCGGTTGCATGGCGAGTCAATGGAATGGATAACCTCGGTGATGACTTCTCGTTGACAACTGAGCACGGTGTTATAGACGCAAAATCCGAGTTTGCTTTGCAGATGCACTTCAGGGCTGTGAGACCTACTAACATTAAGAAGATCGTGAGACTGGAGGTGCGAGTTTATCCTTGTTACATGTGCATTACTGAGACTGCTTCCCAAAAGTTAGATCTGACCCTAAAACCCACCTCACTGTACCCCACCATTTGTAAATAAACTAATCTGGTTGGATAGTCTTAATAGTGGAATTCTCTTTACAACTACACCGGCCAGTTCTAACAAATGGAGAGCGCACTAGGTCATTTTCGGAAGAGATTTTTTTTCTCAACCCGTAAGGAAGAAATTATAGACTATCAAGGAGTATTACACCCTATTTGTTTTTGCCAGTTCTTTAGTTCGATTTTGAGCATATAACAATGACAGCCGAGTTTTATTTCACTGAATTCAAACAGTAAGAAAAATATATTCTAAAAAGGAATTAGCTTAATACCAAGGTGAACAATGCGACCGGCTTTCATCGGCGACGTTTAGCTCATGATGATGATGATGATGATGATGATCTTCTTTATACTTTGTGGACATATCGGTGGCATGCGAAAATGTACCCTTTTTTGTTTATTGTGTCCAGTGAAGCAAATGTCACTAGCATTTTAGGAATTCTTTTTGCCTGCAAGGGTTGCTGGGAAGGGCTATGGGAAACTGCAAAGTCTTTCTCTTCAGAGCTCCAGGTATTGAATTAAGATCTTTACTCGTAGGTGTCGGATGTTGAACAGATCATGGGACTCGTTCAAGCAGAGAACATTCAAGTTCATGCTGAGTCGTACGACGTAGCTTTGGATATGAGTTTCCCAAAAGGTACTTTTTTGTGTTCCGCCTCGTACAAGATTCAATGGCGCGTCCTTGTTTCTGTGGCAAAGTAGCTCGTGATGGATGACTAAGAAGCACGGCCGTCAGGCGATGTTTTCAAAGAGTGATCAACAATTTTGATTGTGTTTTTGTGGTCACTTACGTCAGTTACTTTTGGCAAACAGAAATTCGGTTCGACCAATGACGTGTTCCAAGGCTCATAGTTTGTTGCGTTAAATATTCCTCGCCTTAGGAGACTTAAGCACCGACTAAGCTTGCATAAACAGACATGAACTTTAGTAATAATTTAATGTAATGGTTAGTTTTCAAAACGAATTACCAAATAGTGGCTCGGATGGAAAAAGAACATTCTTAAATTTCTGGGAATTTTTACCATGTTTTAGTACAGCTATAGTTGGAAATTCATTTACCCTTGTCTTTGTTTTAACAAGATGTTTGTTTGTGACAAATGTATATGAAATAAATCGTATGTTTGTTTGTGTCAGGTGCTGATGGCGGGCTAGACTTCGGTGTCCTCAAAGTCTTGGACGAAACAAAGCAAACGTGTTCTCTGAAGAATAAAGGCAAATTTGAAATTAACTTTAACTTCGCGTTCGAAGCAACAGATGGTTCGCCTTCGGATGTGGCGCAACTGTTCACAGTGATACCCAACAGGGGTCCCCTACTACCGACAGACCGACCAACCCAAGTACAGGTCATCTTCAGATCTAAGAGTGAGATCACGATCAAGGATCAGCCCGTCCTTAAGTGTCAGGTAAGCACGCTTTCTCAATTAATCTTGCTAATCTGCCTGTGTAGCAATGGCGGATCCAGGGGAGGGGCCCGCCCCCCCCCCTCGTTATTTTTAGACCAAACTGAGGCCCGAAAGGCCGCAAAAAAATCTCAGGGTCTGAATGACCCCCTTGTAAGGCCCCTATCATGAGGTTTCGGGGCCTCTGTCCTTTTCTTTGTCGTTTGTTCCTTTCCTTTTAAGTTACTAATTATTCACATAGAAACTGCTTTTTAGTCATACACTACTTTGTGTTTTAGATCATCGAACCTCATCTCGGCGAAGGCGGCGAAGTGATCGCAAGTATTCCCATCAAACTCAGCGTCCGCTCGGTCTACAGCAAGTATGCCGTCTCGCCGGTCAGCGACATTAACTTTGGTGCCATGCTCATCAACACCAAGAAGACCCGCGTGTTCTCTATAGAAAACCGTGGGGAGTTCGACTTCAGGTACTCAGTCCTCAAGATGATTAACACGGTCTCACAAGGACGCCAGAGACTGGGACCACCTGCGAAGAGAGCCAAATCACGTGATGGATCGAGCTCAGGGAGATCTCAGCAACCGGATAAACCGGCTAAACCCAAGAGAGCAGACTCAGTGAGAGGGTAGGTCAAAATGATTTTCAGATCCTTCTTTCTTTTTCTCAAGTATATTTCAAAGTGCTAGCACTTGAAATTACCGAAAACTTGTTGTATGACAGTTTTAGGTTGATGACCTTTCTATGCTCACTTGGTATTGCTCGTGACATTGATTTGCTAATTTTTGGGAATGCAATATCTTAATAAATAAGTTCAATACTCTTTTACTTCTTACTTAGAGCCGAGTTGACCACCGGAGCACCGAACATTCGCCTTCAGCTTGGTATGTTCACAGTATACCCAGCCGTGGGAAGTGTACCGGCTGGGGGTGCTGTGCAGGTTACTGTGGATATGATCGCCGAAAATCCAGGCTTCTGCGAGGAGGTAGGTGCGAGTAATCGAGGAACAGCTCTTTTTTTTTCGAAAAAATGAGAAATTTGAGAAATCTGTAAAATTGTTTGTTTTGGAAACGATGGTAAATCTTCTAGAAAGGAAAATTTGTAATAAGATTGGTATTTTATTCGTCGAGTTATCTGTCTGAAAGTCTTATTCATTTGACACTGTTCTTGATGCTGTGAGCACTGCCTACCGTTTTATGTTGGAAAATGACTCGCACGCGCAACCAGCGAATGGAATGCGTGCGTCATAAATTTTTACGCGCGCGTATTGATTGTGACGTAATGTTTTTTGTACTTAGCACATCGATAGTCGCTTCATTCGTCTTTTCGTTGAAGATGTGTTTGTTTGCGGAAACTGCGCAGACTTTCCGCGACGCCTGACGCTTGCTCTCACCGGCAACTGAAACTCTTGGATAACAGTGAAATGTTTTTTCTGAACACTTATACATTTAACTATATTTTTGCTCTTGCTTTATTTTTCAGGATATTGCGATAGACATCTCAGACCGTCCGCCAACAGACAGTCCTCAGGGAATCCCCTACAAGTTGATCGGTGAAGCCTGCATCCCGGGAATCACCACTATCTCACCCGACACGGTCGGCTCGATATTCGAAGAACACTTGATCGTTAAACAGTTGAATCTATTCCAGTATTTGACACACGACTTGGCCAGTGGCTCAGGCGTTTATGGAGAAGATGAGAACAAGTTCTTATTTTATAACACGATCGTTGGACGCAAAGCAAGGGCTCGATTTAGGATTGGTAATTCGAATAAGGTACTTAGATTTTATTGGTAAACCAGTAGGCACTTTTTTGTGTCGTTTTTGCTTTAAACGATACCTTTATTTCTTTGCACTGGGTTTTTTGTGAAAATCCTCTGGATTCCGTGTTTCCTCCATACTGAAGCCGTACCTCATAATTTATTTACAGTTCGAAGGGTTTTGTCGATTCTTGTATATTATCTTTGCTGAATAACGTAGATTAGACATGTTATATTACTTACGAGATGTTGTTATGGTCAAAATTAGGATAGGCCTTTGAAATAGGCTCTTTGTACAACCCTGCTAAGTACCTGTAACCTGTAACTAAGGCGCAGATCAGACGCCGACCTTTTCATGAGCCGAACCTAATTCGAATTAAGGCCTACCCAAATTATTTAGACTCGCTGAATTGATTCACACGCCGATCTTAATTGCAGCTGAACTAAGTTCAAAAGGCGGAAAATGCTGATTTCGGTCAAACTGCTTACAAAATTTGTTGTAATAATTTATGCATTATGTTCGGTACATGAAAAGTTCGGCGTCTGGATCAAAGTCTCTCCAAAGGCGAAATTCCCGGCCGGGCTAGGCGAAAAGAACGGCTGAACCGTTCCAAATTGGAACAGGCGTTCCTAATTGATTCAGACGCCAAACTTTTCATGAACTTAATTCAGTGTATTAGGTTCGGCTCAAGAGAAGTTCGGCGTCTCTGAACCGGGCCTAAGAAACTTGTTTCAACTTAATACTTATCGCGTATCTCTATCTTACCCAGGTCCCTTGTGACTTAGTTCTGTCTGTGAAACCGCAGTCCATGAAGCCATCTGCTCGCTGGCACGATGTTTACGAGATTGAACCTCAGCGCGCTTCCATCCCAGCTCACAGTTACGTGTACGCGACAGTGACGTTCACTCCGCCTTCCATGCAAACGTACAACGCTACGCTGGAAGCTGCGGTGGACGGAATGCCCAGTGCAATGTCAAAATACCGCAATCTGACGTTTGATATCCAAGGGGAAGGAAACCTGCCTGGGATAAATGTGGCGAGACCCACTGCGCGGAACAAGAAAGGTGCCCCTGTGTTACTCTTTAGGAGACTACTACTAGGACGCACTCAGGTAAGTAAACAAGTGTATGAGTGTACTGTAATGCAAGAGTTCGCTTGAGATGCGCGACTACCTAAATTTGCTCGTGCAATCTTTGACGCAATCGAAAATGGCATAACCCGACCTCGACTTCTAAAAGACTAGAAAAAATTAAATTAGTGTAAAAGAAATGTTGCTTCGAGTTTAAGCTTTCGAAAGCTGCTTTGGAAGCTTGCTGCTCGTTTTTAAAAAATTGCTGGTTTATCAAGATAGTCAGTTCAGTAAGCTTCAATTTGATACAGGGTGTAAGGTATATTCAGGTTAACCGAAACGCGCTTAGTCACTTGCTCATGAGACACCCCTAAAGATATCTGGTAGCCTTAAGCCAGCAGTTTTTCGAATTTCAGTTCTAGCACAGACGATTCGCGGCATTTTGTCCCATCATTTTTGCAGGTTCTTCCCATGTCTCTCAAAAACGAAGGTACATTGATGTCTCGAGTGAATATTGATTTAAAAGATCCGGGCGGCATGTACAGTATCTCGTGTGCAGAGGGGACCAAAACACTGATGCCGCTTAACGAAGGCGAGGATGAGGATAACGTCAAGTCACGTGTTCACTCCTTATCTGTGGTTGTCCCCATGGGAAAAACAGCTGATTTTGCGATTGAGTTTACACCGTCCTTGGTGGGTAGAGTGGCTGGCGAAATAAGGCTTACAGTAGTAGATAATCCGTACGAGGAAAGCACAGTTCAGTTGATTGGTGAGGGATACGAGGATGAGGTGACTATAGACAATATACGGTCTTATGTTCAGACTGAAGAACAGGCGGCTGAGGTTGAGATAGATGAAGACACTCCAGGTACTGCTACATGAAATACTAATGCCCAATTCACACCAACTACACATGTTTAATCAAACCATGAAAAAACGTTCGTAGGGTTGTTTTATTTCTCCTTATTCCAATGGAAAAGAATTTATCGACGACTATAACAAACCTAGACCAATGCATCTCATACTACAGTATTAGACTTGCATGGTACCCTGTAACAAAGGGACCCTTAAATTAAGGTGGAAACAATAGAAATATGACTGTGGGGCCAAGTAAGACGCGACATTAATTAGTGACCTGTAGTCTAGAAGCCAACTGTGTTGCTTTTAATCCTAGTCGCAGCATAAGTGTTTGCTCTTTGAGAAGGGCAACCTTTGACTTCGCAGCAAACCCACTTTCAAGACCTTGGCAAGTGTCCCCGTTGTAAGAGGGGGCAATCATTTAGTAGTGGTTGATTTGATTTGACTTCGCTATTACTATGTAAGAGTGACTATAGATTCCCTTTCCCAAAGCGGGGAATAGGGCAGGAAATCAAATTCTCACCTAAATGTTATTTCCCTTTCTGCAGCTTCAAGAGAAAACCATGTTAAATTCGGCGACTGCGCAGTGGGAGCATCCAGACAGCTGTCATTCACACTGACAAACCATTCTACTTCCGACCCAGTCCGTTTCACGTGGTCCCCACCACCCGAGATCACCTTTTCTCCGTGTGTTGGTCATCTGCAGCCTAACTGTGCCAAAGATGTCACAGTTACATTCTGCTCGAAGGAGCCCAAAACGTACTCAGGGACTAATGTACCTTGTAAGGTTACAAAAATCAAGCTTGGAGAGGCACAAGACAAGGTTAGCTTTCTTGGCTCTTTATTTCAAATAAAAAATCTGTTTCGTTCATGACAGACAGCCCCAAGTTGTGTTTGGAAGGAGGGTTGTTGGTATGTTTATAGTGTAAATTTGTTCTTGGGTTTTTTCAGATTTTTCCACATTGTTACCACTTTCTTTGTCTCAGAATGAGGAAAACCTACCTTACTTTTTACTTTTAAACCAACACCTTCTTGCCCTAGTTTCAAGTTACTTGACTTTTATGACTTCGAGTAAGGAATTAACTCTTCAGGTGTTCAAAGTGACAAAGACCTATTAATTGAATGCTCACATCCTAGGGTTTCACCCACGGATTCAAAAGCAAGAACTGCATGCTATTGCTAAATAAGTAACACCTTGTTTTCATTATAGGACTCAAAATCTAGAACTGCGTGCTAAATGAGTAGTACCGAGCAAGAGTACTGTTGAAAATGGTTTCATATGAATGGTAGTACCATATGTAGGTTTCAACCTCAACTAAAGAGTAAAATATTAACAACAAGCCGGGCTCCTTGTCGAATTACTTTCTGTAAACCGTTGAAAATAATTCCATAATCCCACAAATAAACGAATCTTCAAATATGTTTCTCGTTCTTTGAAGCCTGCCCCACCGAAGGTGCAAGTTTTGGACTTTTTCTTATGGGCGTCAAGTCTAGTATGTAGGTAGCGAAGTGAAAAGTGGCGAATTTGACAAGTGCCGAAATCGATAAAAATGATTGTAACAGTTGGTGTCTTCATGTGTGCCTCTGACACATATTATTGGTTTATTTTGATCACAGGCGGTGGATTGGGACGATCGCATGCGCACTGTAAAGTGGGTTGACGTGACACCAGAGGAGGACCCAGCGTCTGGCACGAGGAAGGCCCCTCGGCCAGCTAAAAAGAAGGTGATTGAAGTTGAACCCGAGCCTCCATTTACAGCTCTGGAAAACAGCACCAAGGATGTGGAACTCTTTCTTTCTGCTGTGTGTGACTATGCTAAGTTCCGGTGCAAGCTGGAGAACATTCATTTCAAGGATACACTCATGTTCCAGTCCCGAGTATACAAGTGAGTTTTTCGCAAAAACCTTTGTTCACTTTGTGGATTACTTCTCCCCTGCTTCGTATACGAAATTGTGATATAACCAGACGTGGCCAAGTTACTTTTAATGGTAATCTTTTTTTTTCCACCTGAGCTACAACTTGGAGAAAACTTATTGAGACACATTACAAAAACCCATTTTTGCACTCGTGCTGACATTAATGCTTACCGTCGCAAATTAGGACTGTTTCCCCCCTCCCCTATTAATGTTGTTGGCGGTAACACAAGAACTACTTACTTTAGCTGTTAGGCCAAAGCAACTTTGAACAGGGGGTGGGGAGGGGCGCGTCTTGGTTCCGTTTAGAAGGGATTGTTGCATGGCGTGAAATTATATAAACACATGGAAATGTCTCGACAGTTTTGTCCGGGGTTATAGTTTTCTTTTCTAATGAATTCAAGTTCTATGATACTTTGCGCAGATGTAACAAATAAATAAATGACTCAGTTAAATCGCGAAGTAAAGGAAAGGAAGTGAATAGACCTTTCCAGTCAGTCCCGCCTCCTCTAGTACTGCCTTAATGACTGGTTAAGATCCCCAAAGTCATGATAAAATACAGAGAAAGCCGGCATAAGGTCACGGCAATATTCATCATATCCTTTTTCGAGGTTGGCATCTGAAGACTACAAGTTCTGTTCTTTTTTTTTATCATTTGCTTGTTTTTCATTTGTTTAGCTTTACGGTATCCAACAAAGGCGACGTTCAACTCGATTACCAATGGAGCTTTGAACCTGTTCACAAGTCAAAGGCTGTTGGTCTGACCGAACCTTTCCCGTCAGGACACGAACGACCCGGGAGTCCTGCGGGACAATCGTCCAGTCAACAAACGGGACGGCCGTCTACCTCCGCTGGAGCCTCTTCAGTGCCGCCCCAAACACGGGCACCACAGGTATCGACACGCCCTGGCTCTTCAATGTGTGGAAGACCCTCAAGTGCCTTGGCTTTAGCTTACGAAGCTGGTAGCGTGGTGAGTGAAGGAGGAAGCGATGTCTTTCCTTTTGTGATCGAGCCGCCAAGTGGGAGCATTCCTGCAGGGAAGAAAGGCAGCTTTGTTGTGAAGTTTTCGCCTCTTGATGTATCAGAGTATGACGCCCGGCTGATCTTTAGGTGAGACATGCTGAAAGGCTCCTCATCGCCTCAAAGCGTCAAACATTTTTTCACTTGAATGGTAACACCATAGGATTTCGTCTACAGATGCAAAAGTTAGAACTACATACTAAATAAATGGTACCATGTGAAAGTACTGCTGAAGAGGTTTCATTTGAATGGTAACACCATAGGCTTTCATCCACAGACTCAAAAGTTAGAACTACGTACTAAAATAAATAGTACCATGTGAAAGTACTACTGAAGAGGTTTCATTTGAATGATAATACCATAGGATTTCGTCCACAGACGCAAAAGTTCGAAACACCCACCAGGACTTCATCATTTACCCTGGAAGTGAAACGGGTTAACTTCATTTTTCAAGAGGTTAGTTAAATAATAAATTTATTTTAATGTCCACAGCGCAGCCAACCTTCAACCGGACACTCAACCTTTTCCCATCCCTGTCAGTGGTCGCAGTCTTCTTCCGTACTGTCACTTTGACCTCGAGGAATCGGATTATATCTTCGGTGGGAGACGAAATCCTGAGCTTAGAGGTCCTGGCGGGGCTCCCCCGGGATCAACGCTAGATCCCAGCACAAAGGTCATCGAGTTTAAATCGTGCGGTGTTAAAGTAAAGAATATCAAGTAAGTTATGAGAAAATGTTCCACAAGAAAATCCGTCATATTTATTGTATTACCGATATTCCGATATGTACGCTTCTTCCAAACACTAAACTACTCTCCACCAGCCATTTCAAACATTACAACTCCATAGCAACGTTGGATTGTTGTAGAATAAACGAAACAAACAAGGTGATTGTTCTGGCCAATCACAGCAGGCCTGGCATTCAAGTGAACAAATTAAAACTTGAGGTAAGCAAAAGCAGCAGATTCCAAGCACCGGCAAATACATGCAAGAAAGTGATGTGGAGGAGATTTTTTTATAGCCTTACTTTTTTACTCGTAACTCGATCGTAAATCATTTAAACGGGCATTTGCCATCTGGCTCAGTTGTTCAAACGCTAGATTGCACCTACCCCTCCCCTAAGCCAACATCAACACTTAATTCTCATTTAGGGCAAAATGTTGGCTTAGGGGAGGGGTAGGTGGGCAGTTTCCCAGAAACGTATAATGATCCAATTGCGTTATCCACGTGATTAATCACTATCCAACGGATAGGAACATTTCACTTCATATAACTTTCACCCATCTGTACACGCAGGCGATTCAATGTGATCAACCCATCGAGTACAAACTACAGTTTCACCTGGACCAATGAAGACTTTCTTGACGGCGTACCTGAAAGTGTTAACTTCCGGTGCTTGACTCCCGAGGGGACTGTACTGAGTGGCAAGAAACATGAGATGGTGTTTGAATACGTGTCTGACTCATTGAATCTGATAGAGTCTTTCTGGCGCTTCTTTGTTCCTGAGCATAACATCTCTGTACCATTTGTCTTGGTGGGTCACACTTTTGAACCTGCGCTGTCATTTGACAGGTCTCACATCAACTTCAGAGAGATGCTTCTCGGTAAGGCGATCCTTTGTTCAATTTTTTGTTTCTGTATTTGTTGCCTTTAGTCTTTAACCTTTAGGCCTGTAGATCGTTGCTATTTCTCTGCATCCCTAGTTGCTTGTTGTCGTAGATTGGTTCAGGGACACCCAACGAAAATATAGTTCAAAACCACTTAAACATAGCATTGTTAAACGTATTTTAGTATTTAAACGGTAGATATAGGCATATTTTTATCCCCTAGAAATTTTCCATCTGTTCGAATTTCCTAGCTGAAAGTCTAGTGATCAGAAAATTATAGGGACCAAAACTTACCTTTCCGAAAATTTCAGCCAGAAAAAAGGCTCCCGAAAATTCTAGGACACGGTGACCTTTTAAGGGTAAAAATCCGTTTAAAATGGGCAATTATACCATTTTTTAGATGTTCGAAAATCCTAGGAGAGGCAGGCAAGCAAGAAATTTTACAACAAATGTTCCGAAAATTGTAGATCGCAAATCGTCGTCCGAACAGATATTTTCCGAAAATTGTCGTTGGGTGCGCCTGTTGGTTGACTTATGGGCATGCTCTAAAAAGTCGAAGTGAAAGTTTTATCTAAATTTGTAGTGACAGTCAACTCAACAGTGCGGAACATCGCCGACAAGCTTGATATAAAGTTGTTTTAAAGCTTCCTGAATGTCTTATGAAACAAAAAGCAAGTGTAACGTAGTTAAAACAAGCAGTGCATTAATCAACTTCATTTTGAAAAATCGCTCATCCTTCTCAGCTAACGACGGCATCCTCTTTGAGCTAATTTAACCACAAGTATAAAGTTGCAATATCTGAATTCCCCTCGCAAAGAAATTGAAAAGAATATCCACTTAGAAAAACATTTGTTCTCAAACGAGACTTGGCTCTGAAATAATCTAGCCTGACGCCAAAATGCACAAGAGCTAATATGGTACGTGATGTAAAATGTACGATCATGTGGTTGACTTGAAGATTTTTCGGTGTCCTAGGTCACCCAGCAAAGGAAATTGTCCAGTTGGTAAACGAAGAGAACATTCCTTTCACGTTTTCATTCAGTGAATCGTCTTGTCACACCGAAGGCTATGCCTCTAGTCTGGCTGTCGAACCGATGTCTGGTACCATTCTACCAAAAGCAAGGTTTGTAATGAGAGCAACCTTTTTCATGTTTCATACATTGGCAATCGGAGGATGAGGTTTCTGTTCGACTGTTGAAATCTTGTCTTTGAGCCGGTTATGGTTACATAGTGACCCATTCTGCGACTAGTCTTGTAGGACGGGGAGCTTCTCAACAAGCAGACAAGGGGCACAACTCCTTGCTTGTCATACCCGTTCTGAAACCAGCTGCTCATTAAATGTAGCCCGAGGGTAACTTATAGAAGAGAATAAATTTGACTCTCAAGCTCTCTTGAAAGGAACACTACCTTCTTGGACATAATAGATGGAAAATTTAGACCCCCATTTTGGGGGAATGGGGGATTATTGTTCCAGTTTTTCTCTCCAAGATTGTTGGTAGAGTAATTCTTAAAGTATCGTGGTCGCTTTCTTTACACCTTTTCGTGGTGTTTGATTCCTGTGATGTCTGTTGTATTTAAATCTGTAGGCTACCAATCGAGATCTCCTTCACGGCGACAGAACAAAATGAGGTGAACTTTAACGTTCTCTGTCACGTGAAAAAGAAAACTTCACCACTGACGTTGAACGTGAAGGCGGAAGGATACGCCATGAACGCACAGCTGATATGTGAGGATTCACAAGGAAACAAGGTGGAGCTGACCTCGAAAGGCACAAATAGAATCAACCTTGGAATGGTAAGATGATTCATTAATATACTCTTGCTAATAACTTGAGCTGAAGTTTTCTGGGATTCATGTTTTGGTCGCCAATTCATGTTCCAAGATAGTAATGTTCAGTCGTGCGGTAAAAAGTGATGCGAAAACGCGTGGGGGCTGGGGAGAGAGAAGGCGGTCCCATTTTTTCCCGCCACGGCCCTCTTCCCCAGATCGCGCGCATCTTATTGGCTTGTTTCGCGGCGTCCCCATTATCTGAGGACCTGGTACAGGCTATGTTTTGGAAACCGTGCTGCATACTACTGGAGTCAGCCTGATTCGCTGTGGGTCTCTTACCAGCTCAGTGGCAGTTCCGTTTTCAGTCAGTCCGAACGGTTGCCGCGAACTTAATTATCGGCTGTGGCTCTTATTGCGAACTTGAAACTTTTATATTCGTCTGATGCTTGTGTCATTTTCAGCATTTTGCCTGTCTTATTGTTGTGTGGTTGAAAGTGTCGGTGAAGTTGTTTCGACAATTCTTGAGCGTATGAAGTTGTCCAGAGCTAACAGATCGGTATGAGCTTTACTTAAACAGATAAACCGTATTGAGGAATCATTTTTATCTTTGCTTGATTTTTAGGTGGAGATCAACGAGAAAGCTACCCGTCAGCTTTTTGTCATCAACTCAGGGAAATTTAACTTTGACTTTTCCTGGGAGGTGCATAACCGGACCAAGCTCAAAGGACTACGGTGCCCCGAGGGGGAGAAGCTAGTGTCAGTAACACCGGAGACCGGTACGGTACCGTGTAGTACCCGTAAGAGATGTCAGTTAGCCTTCTGTCCGCCTGGACGACTTAGTTTGTCGGGATGCGACTTGCTGTTAAAGGTAATTCTTAGCGTAAATACGACCCTTTTGTGATCTTGTTTTTGTCTGTAAAATTTTGGTTACTGGATATTTGGAAGGTACAAACTTGAACCAGACATGCGCGAATACTTTCAGCTGTATTGTGGCGACTTGGTCGTTTTCTGTTCTTCAACTGTCTCTCTTCTTCCGCGCAGGTTAAATTGCTAAACATTTGTCTCGTGGAATTTAGTTCCATTCATTCCATACTGATGCTCTATATTCTGTTTGTGTAGATAACCAACGGACCCACGTTCACGATTAACTTGACCGGCACAGGAGTTCAGCCAGGATTAAACTTCTCTTTTGTGAGACACGACTTTGGACCTTGTTTTCTGTACCGTGCAGGCATGCCACTCAAGCGAACAATGCTGATCATCAAGAACGAGGACACTAAAGATATCAGGTTGGACCCTTGCACTTGGCTGTCGTGTTTGAGAAAGTCCTTTTTAAAATATCGCTTAACTTGCTTCTGTTTCGACTTATCTCCTACTCCTGTCGATGATACCAGTAATTAATGTTTAACAAGAGAGATTTTGTGAACAACGTCTATTTTCAAATGACGGGTTTATATGCTTCCGTACAACTGGACCGGTTTGTTCAAAGCTGGGTTAAGATAACCCAGGTTTAGTGCGAAATTTGAATTCAAAACTTGAAGGTTTAAAAAGTAAATAAAATGCTATCTTTTTGTCTACAATTTGATGACTGGATGCTCTAAAAAGAATACAGAAAATTATCCGAGAACTTGCTTTTGAACAATAGAAAAGGAAACCCAGATTAAAATTGATCCCGGGTCAACGCTAATCGGCCTTTGAACAACTGGGCCCAGTCCTCTTACAATTCGCCACTTTCGAAACAAGACGAAACCTGGATCGAGTTAACTTTAGCAAAGACATCCTGGGATTGTTACTAGGGACGTGCCCATCAGCTATTGGCCAATTTTCTTCCTCTCTCTATTAGCAGTTCCAGAAGTCTTTGCGAAAGTTAACTCGGTCTAGTTTCCGTCTCGTTTGTTTTGTGGCGAACAGTTTTTCCAATAGTCATAAACACACAATGACCTTACAAAACTTATACGAGCTCATAAAACTATTATAAACTGTTCAATCGACCTCAAACAACAAACTGAATGAATGCTAACTTTATTTATACACAGTTAAAACATCAGTCTAAAATAGAAAATTAAATTAAGAATTCTCAAAAACTGTTCTTTTACATATTTTCCAACGACAAAATATCTTCATTATCAAAGCCTTTGATTATAATTATATTATATGCAATTAAACGTGTTCGATGCGCGCAAACGTTACCTAATTCCATTTTTGACTCTTCTGACTCTTTGGCGTTTTTTTCTTATTGTGCAGTATCGAGAGTCAATACCAGAACTGTGCACACCTGGAGGTACATTGTCAACCTGGCGTTCTGATTCCTAACCAAGTGATGCAGGTTGATATCCTGTTTTATCCTCGAGAGGCCAGACGTTATCATGAGATTGTACCGTTTGAAATCAATGGTCTGTCCACCATGAATGTGGAAATATTCGGTGAAGGAACTGACATGAAGGTAGGTCTCTTAACCTTAACAGTGACAACCATCTAATTCCTCTTTATAACGTCACTCCCAAATCAAGCATAATGGTGACGAGAATGAAAGAAATGATCGCCTACGTTGAAATGTCTTAATTGTTAAACAAATTCCTTTCATTTGTACCGTAAGGAAAGTATACTAAATATAGAGAATCTTACATACAAAGGCGTGTTTGGAGTAAGCCCTCGGGTTGCCATGGTAATTTGAGAACGTGTGGTTGATCACAAACGTATGGTTGACGTTTCATTGCGCGTTAGGCTAATTACAATTAGATGAAGACGGTTGACTGTAAACAAAGTTTCGAGCACAGTAAGTTCAGTTACGGTTGTATTGACACTTATGGTTCTCTTCTAGCATTATCAATTTTTATTATCGGTTAATTTTTTATTATTAGTTAGTTTTTCGTTATTAGCAGCTTATTGCTGGTCAACCGAACGCTAGCTAATCACTTAACAAAAACAACAAATAATTCCAGTTTAGAGATTACCCGCTAGCTAACCTCTTTATACACGTGGTTTGTCATTGAATTAGTCCTCTACGAACGGTACTAACCAACTGAAGACATTGGCTGAGTAAAACTGTTTAAAAGGTGGAGAGCAAGCGAAGAGATAAAACGAGCTATTATACTAACAGTGATAAGCAAAAACGAGTGTCTTGTCTAAAGGGGAGGTTGCGGATTCGATTCCCGGGGACGCACCAATACTCAAGGTCTTAAATAACTGAGAAATGAAGGTACCATGGCTTCGCCCTGCAAACGTCTAGACCTTTGCGTGGCTAGGATTACCACGTAAAATGGCGGTCCCGTCTCCAGTAGGAGGCGTAAAACAGTGCCCTCAAGTAGTACTTTCGTGTTTAATAAATTTACACCCAGATAAAGTGCATTTTTTTAATCCTTCCCGCCATCTACTCGTAGGTTGAAGTGGCCAACCCTTCAGACAGAAAGGTAATCTTTGGCGCCCTTCGTGTCGGTCAAACGAGCCAGCGGAATTTGAAGCTAGTTAATCGCAGCCCTGCTCCAATCACATTTACCTTGGCGATCACACCAGCTGTTGTGGCGTTACAGCAGGCCAACATCCTTACTATTAATCCCTCCACGGAGATTACACTCAGAGCGAATGGGGGTTCATGTGGCGTAGAGTTGACTTTCAAACCGAAAACACGTATTCCGCACTTCACTGAAGAGGTAAGTAGTAACAAAGGTGGTTTTTCATGATCTTGTTTGGGGGTGAAAGAGTTTGCTTTATTACTCAATAAATAATCACTGTAACAATGGCTCATTTGATGGATGGTAGAAGTTCTGAAGTCGCATTTGGTAAACTGACACTCAATATGCGCTGTTATCTAGTTTCCTTGTACATGTGAAGTCAAAAGTATTTCCGAAGTTCGCTTAGAACTAGTCTAAAAATGCATTAGCTACCCAGACTAATGTCCTTGTAGTTAGGTCCCAGAGCTTACTAGGATGTTCTTCAGTATGTCCAAATTAAGCATCGTTTAGATTTGACTTTACACACTTCTGAGTTTAGAGTCAACTACAGTTCAGTACTAGTAGGACTTGTATTTAACTATTTTATCGGTTAACAGCTATAACTTTCGTGTCCCCGCAGGTGATGTTGGAATGCGCTGGGATGTCACAGCCGATATTCGTGGTAACAGGGTCTTGTCAGGGTATAGAGATCGCTCTTGATAGTGACTCAGTACCTTTTGGTGCTGTGGTTCTTGGCAGTAGAAGCACCAGGAAGCTGATTATGCACAATACAGGGGACATCGGAGCTGCATTTTCATGGAATGTAGAGAAGTTCCAGCCAGACTTTTCTATTGCTCCAGTCAAGGGTTATATTTCACCGGGCATGGAGGTGTCGTTTGAGATCATTTTTCACCCCACTGTGGTCAATCATGACATGAGATATGAGGTAAATGGCTTATTAGAATCAATTGGTGATCAGCTCATTGTTTCTTTTCGAGTGTTACTTTTCGAAGGGCGATAATTTTCAGCGCAACCTTGTATCTTTACTTTTCTGGGGTAAAGTTTGGTAACTACGCCCCTTTTCCTGACCTAATAGTACAGCCAATCAAAGCTATCAGTGTAAGCTTGTTTCACATATAAACAAGGCAGTGCCTGTTCAATCCTGTTTCCAGGCTTAAACTAAAGTAAAACAGGCTAACTATGAAGTACTGTATGTACTACAAAAGCTGTTATTTGGTAGTAATTTGAAAAGAAAGTTAACCCAAAGGAAATGAAATTTAGCAATTGTGGCATTTTTTGTGGAATAACCTTGTTAGGTCGAACGCCAACGGTCGTCCACGGAAAGTTGTTTTTGTTGTTTTTGTCGTTAACGCAGTGTTTTTTTGCATGACAGAATCTCCGTTGCACTATTGAAGGAGGCAAACCTCTGAAGTTGGTTCTCACAGGCAGCTGTATTCCTCAAACCCCCCTCAAAGAGGTAAAAATACCAAACACATTACACCTGATCTGATAATATCTTAATCTGAATTCTGTTCATTTCACGGTCGAGTATTTTGTAGTGAATGAACCACTACATTTTCGCCCACCTTAGCTTGCCATGACGACTCTTACGTTAAAATTGTCGACCCTCATGAAAATGCAAGCTACAATTGTACAAACCAGTGATCGAGATCGAACTGCCTTAATGTTACTTTAAGATCACCCATTAAAATATTCATTTTTTTCACTTACGCTTATCAGCAGGCTTATTTGGCTTAACGTGCCTTTAAATATGGTGCATTTAATCTCATTTTGATAATTACTGCTGATCAAGGAATCGCTAAGAGTCACCGAGTTTACATTTGTGTACCTTGTTATAGGTTCTTCACTTTGCCACGCATGTCCGTACTCGTGACACGCGCAATCTTGTGATCCATAACCGGACAAACCAGTTGTGGATGCTGCGGCCAGTTATAGATGGCGAGTACTGGTCCGGCCCAGACAGCATCACAGTGGAGCCACAACAGAGCAAGAACTACGAGCTGACCTACAGACCGCTGAGCATGACCCAGGAGGGAAAGAAACACACGGTACGTAGACTGACGCATTTTTTTGTTTGACTTGGTGAATCAGTACCCTCATGAGTTCCTCCAAGACTCTAGTAAGCCCCTTGTGATATAGCAAAGGGTTATGTTAAAAGGTGATGATCGAATAGCACTAGATTATAAGGGGTCTAAAGAAAGGGGCTTGGCGGTGATATTGACTTAGGGTGCGCACTGGTTCCTTCATTTAATGTTGTGATTTACACCATGAGTGTAAATTACTATTTTGCGTCGATGTCTTCCCTGATGAATGTAGTTGTAACAAATACGAAGGTATAGATCTGGGTTCGTTTCCTGTACAGATATTTATTTCTGCCTTTTACAATTCCGAAAGGGATACATGTTCATGAGTTTTAAATGAAAGCTTGACGAAATGTACCCCATATATACCAGCGTTAACATGCATCTGTAACGATAGTAATACTTGCAAGTGACTACCTTTTAGCGCCGGTTATATCATCGTCATATCAACAACGATGAAAAGAACCTTGTTGAGGGAAGTTTGTTTTGATAGCGCACCGCCAGACCACAAAGCCGCCTGTATTTTTGCGTAGTCAAGTGCGCGCTAACAGTCAAACAAAAGACATGGAGCGAGGCTGAAAACGGAGAGTGAGACCTGGAATAAACGTTTTTTCCTCTCGCCTCACACTCTTCGCGCGTGGAGGCCCTGATGTTCGCGCCTTGAAAAAGCGATTTGAAGGTAAAACCGACTGTTTTGCAGCCTATTACACCGCTAACATTCAGCATTTCTGTTTTCTTCAGGGCTCTGTGTTTTTCGCCCTCCCGGATGGCAATGGGTTGTTGTACAATGTGACAGGTAGCGCTGAGGGTCCGAAGCCAGTTAACAATATACAAAGAGAGGTGCCTTGCAAAACTTTTTACACTGAAATGCTGACTGTCACTAACTGGCTACGGCGACCTCAAAGGTTTGCACAGTTCTTTGTATTTTTCCACCTGCCGTGGGATTATGTCTTTGATTGTGTACTAACAAGCTTGGCCCTATGGTTGTTAATAATTTAAGGTTGTTATACACTGAGTACAAAGTAGATTCTGTAGATGGTGTACATTCTATTTATGTCCACGGAACAACTGGCTTTTACATTGCGGTCATCGTTTTTTTTTTGGCCGTGATAGGTCATGAACGGTTTCAAAAATGGACTCGCATATGTTAAGTGGAAGTGGTAAAATTTAGAGGCCGATGCTTGGTACATCATTGCTGGCAACATCGTGTGGTGGAGCTCGCAACGTAAGCGCAGCATTGGAGGCAACATTACCCATGGCCAATTATGGACATACGTCACGAACAGTTGGTCTAACGTTTTGGTTAGGTTACCAACTAGTCACATAACTGAGTTAAATACTGTTCAATTAAATATTGAGACATTCTGTTGATACTCGTATATTTTTGTAGATTCCGCGTGATTATTGAGATGTTGAAGCCTGACAAACCTGACAGTGCTACCACACTGAAAGGACTAGACTACATCGACGTGCCGGGTTTGTCCAAGCGTGATTACAGGCTGAACTTCTTTGCGCATAAAGAAGGAACTTTTAGTGCTAAGGTAAGGTCCATGTGCTTGTGTACTCGATTGCGTAGTTGTAGTATGCCCACCCCACCCCCATCTATCTTGATTTCTCTGCGCCATCTGCACAAACCACTGCCCCTGACTGCTTTCAAGGCGTAGCGGTTTGCTTCTGGTACTATTAAGTCCCTTTGATGTGATTACCCATTCCAAACGTTCATAAGTCCAATTTCTCTCAGTACTGACTGTTTCAACTTACTTTAACCTGCAGGTGATCTTCCGTAACGAGCACGGTGGGGAATATCTATTTTATTACGTGACGTTCAAGGCAGTGGCTCCTGGGGTGATGGCTACTATTGATCTGGCCACACCCATACGAAAAAGTACCTCCCATGTGGTGACGTTGCACAATCCTCTCAGTACCCCTGTAACATTCAACTCTCAGTGCTCCGTAGCAGACATACAGCTTCCTCCGAGTTTCACTGTGCCTCCTTTATCCGAGGTTTGTATCTCAGTCCATGTTGACGTTTTACTAGTGAGCTTAAGCAAAGACGTTTTTGAGCGATACACGTCAAACCGGAAGTGGACTTTTTTCGTTCTTAGGCAGTGGTTTTGTCCAAATTTTCGGGCTAATCGTCTCTAGAAGATTAAAGGCACTTAGCAAGACAAGTTTGGTAACGTCAAGACACTTTACAATGAAAAAGACCTTACTTCCGGTTGACTTGCGTCGCTCAAAATCGCCTTTGCTCTCTACTAACACTTGTGATCGACCAGGGATCGCGGATGGGAGGTTGACGTACAAAACCCTGTAACATTACACCGTTAAATATCAACATGTGCCTGTCGGCATCCCCATTGTGACTTGCTGATTCTTTACCAAATTCTCTTATTTTCAGGTTTAATACCTTGCTTTGAAAGTTGAGACTTGTGCATTTGTTTATTTCAACTTTATTTTCTTTGTATTTGTGTTTGGTTAATTATGATACTGAGTTAAAACTGAGAAAAATAAGTGTTGATCCATTGATTGAATTGATCCATAACATATCCCCCAGTCCCCCATTTTTCCAAGAGTAAGCTCAAATCCGCCTGCTTGGAATTGCCACGGATAAGAGCACAATACAGTTCAAACTTAAAACGTCCTGAGGTAAAAGAAAGAAAAATTGGATACTTCTTCTGCTACAGCTTATCATTTACAGAATGTTGAGAAGAACTTGAAATGACCTTGTAGTATATCACAGTTGTATTCTGAACAGACAGTTAGTATAAATCGTGATCATGACCATATCTCAAGTATTAATTAGTTTTTATTCATATGCCTTTCAGGGCTCGTGTATGTTTGAATATCTACCCCTGAAGGCCGGTGAATTGATTGGCCGACTGTCATTTAGCAGTTCAGAACTTGGTGTTTACCAGTATGATCTAAACCTGACCGCTACCCCTGCTGGCTCGGAGGCTCCTGTTCACTTCCGCACCGCCCTGGGCTCCAGTCAAAGTCAGACTTGTCGTTTTGTGAATTTTGCCAAGTCTAAAGTCGAGTACAGCTGCAAGGTAATAACAGTTAATGTTGTTGTTCGTGAAGCTTTTTGGCTGGTTACTGTCTTTTTTACTCTGAGGAAGTAGCCTGAGAAAGCACGCGACATACCCCTAGTTTGCCGCGAAATGAGGTC